GGAAAATATTGAGTCTTGGACTTGCTTCTTCGTGCCTTCCTTCATGTCACGAGAGTCCAACTTTCATCTTCTCCAATAGTTAAGACTTCTTCAAAGCCATCATGGATATACATGTCTCGATTTGGAACTTAAATAACAATACATTCAAGTGAACCAAACTAGATGACTTTGGGAATTGCTTTCACTGTTGGGATTGCAGATTGTGACACTTCTGTCTTCGATTTTGAGGATGGAGAATTTGGAGGTCCTACAATATCCGTTGCATGGTTGGATTCTACCGATTTGTCAAGGTCCAAGAGGATTTTGTTCTTTCTGGCCAAGTCCACGAGCAATTCCTTTAACACGAAGAATTTTTTAGTAGGATGACTAACTATTTAATGATAGTGGCAGTACTTCGAATCCTTCACACGACCTATTTCTTCAGAATGTTTGCACTCAGGGAGTTGAATGACTTTCTTTTCAAGTAAATCTTATAACATCCCCAGTACGTTAGAGTCAGGAAAGGGATACTTCTTTTCTTGTAGTTCCTTCAGAGATGGAAGTGTTTCCTTCCTTTCTTCTTTCTTCTTGTCTTTCGTTGAAATCTTGATTGGAGCTGTGGTTACTAACATTGCTTCTTTGGTGGTACCTTTGAAAAGCTTGCCTCCTTTTTTCACTTCTTTGTTATCGTTCCTTTGTTCAAGAATGGGAAGGTATTTCCCGCCATGGTTGGCTATGCTAATTTCCATGTCATGTGAACATGTAGCTAACTCTTCATATGTTCGTGGTTTTATCCCTTCAAGGATATAAAGGAGTCCCCAGTGCATGCCTTGCATGCACATCTCTACAGCTGAGATATCAGAGAGTCGATTTTTTTGCAATCTAGACTTAGAGCACGCCAACGATTGATGTAGTCTACCACGGGCTTATCCTTCCATTGCTTGGTACTGGTTAATTTCATCATGCTTACCATACGATAGGTGCTATATAAATGATTAAGGAATTCATGTTCTATTTGCTCCCAACTATCGATTGACTCAGCCTCCAAATCAATATACCAATCAAAGGCATTTCCTTTGAGTGAATGAACAAATTGTTTGACGAGTAGATCTCCGTCTGTCCTGGCATTGTTGCAAGTTTCAACAAAGTGAGCGACATGTTGTTTAGGATTACCTTTTCCATCGAACTGCTGGAACTTGGGAGGTTGGTAGGCATTCTGAGAATGTCTATCCTCTTTGTGTAAGGCTTGGAGTAATGAAAGTGCTTTGCGAGGGCCCACCGTATTGTGCTCGGATGGTATTTGCAATCATGTCTTGGAGTTATTGAATAGACAAAGAAGCAATGGATGTTGGTTGACTACTTGTGCCAATCACTTGCCACGCAACAGATGTATGGCAAGTTTCCTCACCAACAACTTGCTTGGACTTATACGTAGGGTTCACCTTCTCAACAAACGTGCCTTGTAGTGTAAAGCCAGGTTGATGAGAATTGTCTTGACTTGCTTCATCATCATTTCGTGCTTCTAACTTGTTCATCAAGGTGGGAATCTAAAGATCTTTCTCTTCCACAATTTTGGTGAGCTTGTCAATGGCATGAGCCATGGTCGCCAATTGTTCTTCCACTGAAGTGGTGCCAGTGGTCATGACTTGCATAGCCACCGAGTGAGACAAATCTGAGTGATTCAATGAAATTAAACATTGAGGACTACTAGGAGATGATCCTAACTGTGAGCCCGTAGTTGAGTTTGCATCAGAAGCTAAGGGTGTTAGGTGTGGAGAGAAACCTTCTGGTAGAGAATCATTTGAGACAGAAATGGACTTCTTCCATTCCCTCACTTCCTTTTGCTTAGCCCTGGACGTGGATACTATGATAGATTTGTGAGACTTGCCTTGCGCTTGCTTTGTTTCTTTGGCAGTCAGTATGACCCTGTGAATGGCGAGATCAATGGTTGCCTTGGTCTTGCTATGGGTAATCAGACTCGTAGAAGTGCTGCTGTTGTTAGTCATGACAACGGCATTCTTGCTGGCGTTCTTACTGATCGGAGCAATTTGAACTTTCTTTGAAGCCATTATGCTTGATCAAACAAGATTTCGGGAAGATGCTTTAAGAGAAAGAGATGAAAGGCAGAGAGGTCCCACTGGGCATGCCAAAATTTGTAAACACAAATTTCATATCCTGCAATTAAGACACGAAATAAATGTACAAATAAGTAATTTTATTGATTATAATAAATGGGTACAATCCTCTGTAGTTTGCTCTATTACAAAAGAGTGGCTTCTTTGATTAGATCTCCGAAATGGGTGCAATTCAACGGCTGTAAAAGCTTGTTGTTTAACTAGACAAGTTGATGAATTTCTTCAAGTCTTCGAATGGAGAAACTTGGAGAAGAAAGGCTTGATCGAGGGCTTGAATGGCTTGATCTCGAATGAGTCTTCAAATGATCCCCTTGAAAAGAGAGACCAAATTTGTGTTTGTAACTTGAAAGGATTGGCACAAGTTTGGAGTGCTTGATAATCCTTTCGTTTTGAGTTTGAGGAATTTTAGAGAGAATTTTAAGAAGAGAATTTAGCAGAGTCTCGAGATTGCTTAAGAGCTTGCAAGACCATTAGCCAAAGAAATGTGTCTCTCCCCCTATTGAGAGCCTCTATTTATAGGCTTAGGAGGGGAAGATTAATTTTGGAAACTTCAAAATTGACTCCAATTTTCAAGAAACAAGCAATTTACTTCTTGATTTATGGACATGATTTGCAATCAAATTTAAATTTAAATTTGAATTATTCCACTAAATTTTGATAAAAATATCTTCATGGGCCCTATACTTTTGGGTTGACGCAATTGTCAAAATAATTTCTTTTGGTGTGACCCATAATTTAAAATGGGTTAAGATCCATAATTTTAGTAAGACCCATACCCAATCGAAAATTTTGACCAATCAAAGAAAATTTATTTTCCTTGATTAATTAGACGGTGATCAAGACACGTGAAAATTTAAGTGTCTACACTCTCCTCCATACCCGAAACCATATAGATCTCCAAACCTTGATTTCATCTATTTTATGTTTTTTAACCAAGAATTCATCCTTTGTCCTTTTATCAAAGTTGTTAATCTCGCTGTAAGCTACACATTGAATCGATTGGATCGTGTTATTTTGCTAGCTCACTCCTTGAGTCTTCATCTCTTCTCTCCTCTCACAACCTTGATGTAAGAATATTTTTACCAATGTATATCTGTATTTTGGTTTGAATATGTATTAATCTCGTGATATGAAGGTGTGATTTGGAATGGGTGATATATATACATATATATATATATGTAAACACTAATGGTGATAGCAAGTTTTGTTCTAAGATTTGTGAGAGATTTAGTTATTACTTAGTTAAAAATAATGTGTACATCAATAATCTTGGAAAATTAAAGAATGGAAAGAAAAGTCCTAAATTTCTTGTGAAATCTAAAATTGTTGTTCCTAGGACTTACTGAGTAATAGGAAAGGAATTAATGGGTAAATCGGTTAATTGTTGAGATGAAATTTGATTTTGAATTGTTGCTTGTTTTGTGATATGGTTTACCCGCGCGGGGAAATTGACATGGCCACTTGCCCGGTCGTGTGAGGACAACAACTGTGAGAATGTTTGAGGTATCCATGTGCCCAATCGTGTGATAACGATAAATGTGGAAGGTTTGAGGTGCCCATTGCCCATCTGTGTCAGGACGGAGAAAAGTGGAGTTAAGTGAAATGATGTATATTGGGTTATGAGGTTGAGAAATTAATGTCCATAAGTAAAGGAACATGGTTATGCATAATTTAAATCAAATGTTTATATACACGATTAAATATATTCTTTACTGGGTAATTGCTCATTCCTATCTAACAAATTTCAAGACTTGTTGAACTGCAACTAGCCCAATGAAGAAGAAACTGCCCAACTCTCTTGTTTAAAAATTCAATGATATTTTGAATTTGTATTGTAATTGTTGAACTTTTACTTAGTTTGGAGATCATGGGCCCCCATTTGTTCAGTGAAGACCATGTATTTAATATTGTACATTGTGGGCATTTGTTAAATTTTTTCCATCTTCTTGAATTGTGAATGCTTGAACATGTATTTTGTAACCTTGAAATTATAGTTCAATGAGAAAGAGAAACTTTGGTATTTGTTGGGAATTTGAGTTGAATATTATATGTACATCTCTGCCGTATTGGATAGTTTATAGTTTCAGATTTTGGGGCATTACAACCTTGCAATAACTTGCATAATCTATTTATTGTAATTTTAAATGACTCAATTCAATCTTAGAGGAACTTTCACTAACTACCTTAAATTAGAGAATGATTTGAATAGTTAGCCATAACAATAATTAACTGTGACTGTTAACAAGTGGTTCAGCCTAAGCTCTAATGCTCATTGATGGCCTTCTATCTAAAGACTGCTTACTAACTTCTGTGACTTGGGTGTCACACAGGTTAATTAAAGACTATACAAGAAATTCAAATCAAATCTAAAACAATTATGGCTCTGATACCAAAAAAGCCCCACGCTATATAATCTTTGTGATAGAAACAAGAAGAATCAGAATTAGAGTTATATTAGAACTAGGCTTTAACTTGCGTAATCTATTTATTGTAATTTGTACACAAACAAAAAAAAAATCCAAACTACTTGATGAAGAGGGCATCTTCTCACAATCATAACATCGCTCTTACCAGTAAGGGGAATAACAAAATTTACAAGTAGGCTGTTATGGGGTTAAAAAAAAAAACAAAGATGTAAGAAACAAAATAATAAAAACAACAAAAATGATGAAATAGTTTAAAAAAAGACTCAATTCAAACTTTCAGATCATTTCTGTTAAACAATGCTTGGTTTTGTAAACATGAGCAAGGATTGTTCATCTTGTCAGATTATTTGCTTTCCAGACTACCCATTTTGTGGATGTAGAAGATGCTATTGAGAATATTTATTCTCTTATATAAAGTGAAATTTTGAATTAGATCCAAACTGTTTAAATTCTCTTCAAATATAAGTGGCTTCGAATAATTGCCATGATTATCACATTAAATACCAAACGGTGTATATTATCACATTACAACAACAAACGCAATCAATTTTTAATACCTGAAACTACAAAATGAGAATTCAAGAAGTGAATTAATTCATTGATTTAAAGTAAAAAACCACATTCAAATACAAGAGACAAACTCAATGTATTGGAAGGAATGAAACCAAAAATACATCAAAGAATCCTCAATCATGCCATTACCATCACAATGCGCGTCACCAACATCACATATCTTCTCAAAACTCTTGTCTCCAAGATTGTACCGTAAAATCTTACCCGGTACATGCAACACCATAAATGAGTCCTCATCGTCTTTTTCCTCTAATACCTGAAACTACAAAATGAGAATTCAAGAAGTGAATTAATTCATTGATTTAAAGTAAAAAACCACATTCAGATACAAGAGACAAACTCAATGTATTGGAAGGAATGAAACCAAAAATACATCAAAGAATCCTCAATCATGCCATTACCATCACAATGCGCATCACCAACATCACATATCTTCTCAAAACTCTTGTCTCCAAGATTGTACCGTAAAATCTTACCCGGTACATGCAACACCATAAATGAGTCTTCATCGTCTTTTTCCTCTCGTACAAGTGAAAGTATAGCAAACGAGTAATACATTGGGTCCCACGAGAGCCTTTGCATCATCTGGGAAAACGCAACTCCAACTGAACCAAGATCGACACAATACTTCACAAACCACCCAAAGTAATCTCTCTCCATCTCGTAAACATCAAATTGAATCCTCGGACCGTATATTATAACGAGATGCAAATGTTCATTCGACTCCCCATAATACCTAAATTGCCTCCCTTTCCAATCCCCATGAGGAATTGGAGGCATTGGAATAGTTCCAATGCACTCCTCCTCCACGTTGAAATATAATGTGTCCCCCGATGTGCTGAACCAATTAGTCGCGCCACACTACTAGAAGACAAGGCTTTTGAGTCAGCAGCGTGCCATCGCAAATAGTGTATTTGCAGACACAAAAAATTTTTGCGATGGCGTTTCGACGGCAACTCAAGGGACAAAAATGGTGGGGTCGCAAAAAGTTTTTGAGTCGGCAATCTGCCGACGCAAAAAGTTTCAATTCTTTGAGACGGTAGATTGCCGACTCAAAAAGTGGTTAAAATGTTTTAAAAAAATTTAATCCATAATTTTCTCATTGAGGCTCCCAAGTTTCGAACACACTCCATTTGGCCGATTTGACCCGAAGTCACTGCACTAAGTCCACTTCACCACCATACCTCTTTTAGATATTAAATGAGATATATATTATTTATAGTATATACACTCAATATTAATACAAAAGTATATGTATAAATAAATATATTTATTAAATATAATCAAGTAAATATATATATATCTTGGCTATAAATTTTTTTTTTTTGCTACGGCGTTAGTTGCCAACACAAAAAGGTATAATTTTTTGTGTCGGCACAAATTTGCCGACACAAAAGGTCTATGCCAACTCAAAAGGTCTATCTTTTGCGTCGGTAAATTGAACCGACTCAAGTAATGCTATCAAATATTAATTTTTTGTGTCGGCCAACGGTGCTGACGCTAAAGGTTTGGTATTTGAGTCGGTAACTCTGTGCCGTCTCAAAAAAGCTACCTTTTGCGACGGTAAAATTTGCCGACTCAAAAAACCGACTCAAAAGGCCCTTTCTTTAGTAGTGCCATTCCAGTAGACCCCGCCAAGAAATTCAAAATTTTGATTAGCTGTGAAAGGTTCAGCACATGTCCTCCATGACCTGGTCTCGGATGAGTAAATCTCAATCTGATAACAGTGCTTGTTTCGATCATAATCAACTGACAAAACTGAATCAACGTGATCAACGTGCCAAACGCAGACCACTTTGTGGTGAGGTGATCTTGACGGGTCAAACACTAAATTGAAACCTTTATGGCCATCACGGGGTTGAGGAAAGCGACTTGAATTGCTTGGTGGTAGGATTGAGGATATGATAGCGAAATTGATAGTCGCCTCCTTCAAGGTTGGAATAGCTAGAACAACATAATAATCCACGGCATGAGCTCAAAATCCCTTTACCTGATAGGCTTGGAATTGTTGTTAAAGGTATCAAGTAGACATAATCATTGTCGTCGCTCAAGATTTCATTGTTTTGATGAGGGATGAAATTGAGTTCTGCGTTGCGGCGTCTCATGGATGAGTACAAGAATAGGCTGAAGACAGAGCTGGAGTTGGGATTCCGACAATGTGCGAAGTAGGGATTGGTGATGAAAGAGAGCCAGTGTTTGGATACAGACTTGAATCGCATGAGTGATTTTATCTATGGAGGATGAGTGCACAGACATGAGGGACTCGGGGAATATGTTTCAATCTTGCTTCAACTCTCAGTATGTGGTTTGAATTATTTTTGATCATTCAGATTAAGCCATTGTATATATATAGAACTTGGTTTTGTGAGTGCTGTGTATCTATGAGTGCTCTGTGTTTCAAACATTGTGCAGTACATTGTTGAATATTTTTAGTCATTGACAATGATAGGTTGCTTGTTGAAATTGGCCTTTGACAAGGTCAGTGGTGTTCGTTCCACAGTAGTCAATTCAATTCTACAACAGGGTATACTTTTCCCAAGCTTCCACAGGAAATTTCTACGTTCTCTGTTTGGCAAGCACGAAAAGCAGGGTATAACCGAAAGAGACTATAAGAAAACATTAGAGCACAATTCTTAATGGCTAAGTTTCAGGAAATGAATTGGTATTGGTCGCGTGAAGTGATATTAGGAATATTGAGGCTTTGTTTGACGTGCTATGTTTGGGTTAAAATAATCACAAAACAAAATAAGTTTTTTAGTTCAATAAAATAAAACATTACATCCAAACTATAATCATTTTATTTTTTCTCTCACAAAAGTCAAAAAAGGCAAAAAGTTTAACCCAAATGAGGCTTTTTATCCACAGGCTAAAATAGCCAAAAAGTTAAAAATCCAAAAAGTCAACCCACATCCCAAACGAAAGTTAAGTGCTACAGTTGTAATTTTCTTAATCGAACCAATTCTTTTGATCACTACAAGAATTTACACATTTTGCGACCACTTTTGCCGATCGAAAAAATTTTTGTCGCAAAAAATTACATTTGCCGACCAGATTAAAATTTCGTAGCTGAAAATTTTTAATATTACCGACCAAATTTTTTTGGTTGCAAATAAGTAATTTTTTGCGACCAAATTACATTTTTTGTAGACAAAAATCTAGGCGGTAGAATAAAATCTGGGCTGGAGCTGTATGATCTTTCAGCGACCAATATAGTTTGGTCGCTTATGCCAAAACGACGTCGTTTTGGTATCTAATTTCGCACACAGCCATTAGCCGACCAACAGGTTGGTAGGGGATAATGTACCAATTCAAACACATCTAAATCAGAAATACGCGCCTCTTTCACACACCTCAGTCGAATTCGATCAAAGCTCAGTTGCGCCAATCACCTCACCTTACCATCGACCTTACCGTTCGCCGTCGTCGTGTGATACCCCTGTTCTGTATTATGCTAAATTGGTCCTTAATTTGTTTATGGTTATGTGTTTAGCATGATTTTGTGTGCCATTATGTGATAATATGTGATTTTGAATTCGTATCTGTTCACCGTAGGAACATCTGTTTGAATAGTCTGCCTCGGGAATTAAATTGAGGGCCTTATCGGCCACAGAACACGAAATTGATTACGCCACTGTGATTGGCATAATTTTTAGAGCCTACGGTGAAATTTAATTGAAAATTTATCCTGGTCAATTTAGACTGATTAAATTGATAAATTAAGTGCCCAATTGTTTTATAATATAATAATGTTGAGTGGGTGCTTATTAAGGGTCAACTACACCCTCATTTCTCTCCTTTAAGCTTCATTTGGCTGATGAAAAACTCTTAGACTTGAGAGAGGATCGGCTAAGAGAGAGAGGGTGAAGGAAATTGAGATTTTGGTCCTAAAGCTTGGTGATCTTGGAGGCTAGCTCGAGAATTTACCTTAAATTGTGAGAATTAAACTTCTAGGTAAGCCATTGACCCTTGAATTCATGAATTGAACGTGAAATCTTGTGAGGTCAAGTATTTTTTGTGATTAAGAGTATGATTTAAATTAGTCTTGATGAGATATGACCATGCATGCATAAAAATTCTGTTGAATTGCCATAAGTTGCATAATCTGGTATGTACCATGTCAATTAAGCAAAAATTGAAGTTGATCATGCATGCAAGCTTGGTTTTGTTGAGTTTTGGCACCATTAGCATCTTTGAAATGGAAATGAGGTCAAGATGGCCTTGCATGTTCGAATAATTAAAGATATGAGCTTGAATGCAAGAATTTGTTCTATGGGTGAAGAGTTTGTCATGTTTTGGGACATGCATGTAGGTAAATCAATAAATTGAACTTCATAATGCTATAATCTTGCAAAGGAACCATGTTAGTATGATTATATTTGAGATTTGAGCCTTTGCATGCAAGAATGGTAGCTGGGAAATTGAATTGAAGCTCAAGAATACAATCTGGAATTTCCAGAATTTTGACTTCCGCTCGAGCGGGGGAAGCGCCGCTGGAGCAGAGAAATCGAGCTCCCAGCATTTTTGCAGACATGGTTCCCGCTCGAGCAGGGGAATTTGACGCTCGAGCGGGGAGCTATGTAGACAGGCAGTACGCTCGAGCTGCCGAGTTCACGCTCGAGCTGGAATTGAAGGCAACCAGTACTTTTGCAGACCTAAGGGTCCCGCTCGAACGGGGAAGTCCACGCTCGAGCGGAGACCCTATTTTCTGAGATTCTGTTTTCCGTTCTCCTTCACCTGTAAGCACTCTTAGGCATATGTTAAGCATTGTAAATGAATTAATGAGATATGAATAAAGCCTAATGAGGAACGTATGAAGCAAAGAACGGGTTGAACTGTTAGTGACCCTTTTTGTGTTCATGAAATGTGTAGGGTCAAGCTCCAGGGCAAATCCACAAGCCGATCACTGTGAGTAATATCAATATTTAAAAGCTTGTGAATGTCTACTTGTTATTCCCTTATAAGCCTTATGAATTTGCTAATTGGGATCGTGGACAAAAGCCTGATACGAATGAATGATTGGACCAGAGGTCGTTTTGATAGAGATAATGGGCCAAAGGCCGTTTTTATATAAATGAATGGGCCGAAGGCCGTTTTGACATGAATGAGTGGGCCGAAGGCCATTTTGACACAGATGAATGGGCCAAAGGCCGTTTTGACAAGAATAAATGGGCCGAAGGCCGTTTTGACAAGGATGAATGGTTCGAAGGCCGTTTTGACATAAATAAATGGGCCGAAGGCCGTTTTGACGTAGATGGAAATCAGAATGGGCCAAAGGCCAATATGTTTAGAACTACAGTCACTTGATCTAACCTTTGTATAAATGTACATATGTTAAGTAGGAATATGAATTGGGCCCAAGGCCGTTTGGAGTATATTGTTCTGCATATTGTTTATATGACTTCTGTATTTGATATTATTCACTAGGCTGTCGCTCATGCTCATTCATGTGTTTGTAGGTGAGCCAAGGCAAGTCTAAACCCAGCCCCAGTGAAGTCTGCTAGGGAAAAATACAAGTTTTGAGGAAGTCAGCCTTGCGTCTCACTCTTGAGACCTATCCTTGCCTTTTTGCAATGTAATTATATTTTGTCTTACCGGCAAGGACTTTATGTATATCTATAAATAGTCTGTCATGGGTTGACTTAATTAGATGATCCTGTTTGTAAGGAATTTCATGGTACTGTACTTTTGACGTGGGTTATTAACGTTTATGAGTTTGGTTTGTTTTGAAGTGCATATAAGCACAACTCTATGGACAAAGTTATTGATTATTGCTTCCATTTGGCCCCTCCACTCTGTTGACTTATGTCTATTCTGGTTTGAGGCCGTAGGTAATCTCAG